TCCTCGGAGATCCTTATTCTTCGTCCTCGGAGATCCTTCTTCCTCGTCCTCGGAGATCCTTCTTCCTCGGAGATCCTTCTTCTTCGTCCTCGGAGATCCTTCTTCCTCAGAGATCCTTATTCTTCATTCTCAGAGATCCTTCTTCCTCGTCCTCGGAGATCCTTCTTCCTCGGAGATCCTTCTTCTTCGTCCTCGGAGATCCTTCTTCCTCGGAGATCCTTCTTCTTCGTCCTAGGGGATCCTTCTTCTTCGTCCTCGGAGATCCTTTTTCCTCGTCCTCGGAGATCCTTTTTCCTCGTCCTCGGAGATCCTTCATCCTCGTCCTCTGAATCTTTTCTTGTGCAGAGACAGTTAAAGGGGGACACAGGAAGTCACAGAGGGTGTGAGCGGGCGCTGTGATTGGGGGTGGGGAGACGCGGCGGGTACATGTATATATATGTATACTGTATGTTCATCGGTGTCCATGTACATAGAATACAAACAGTGATAGCCGCTCAGTCTGGGGAGGAACTACAAATCCCAGCAGTCAGCCAGTAGGGGGGAGGGGTTCCTTGTAATAAAATCAGAGGTCTGTGTTACATACAATGTCTGATATATACAGAGGGTGTGGCCCCCACTGTGATCTGTAGAAGGGCCCGACTGGCATGACTCAGCATTCAGATAACATCAGCTGGTCACACCTTCATTCTGGTATGGAGGAGCTCCGAGTCTCAATGATCGCAGACCCGGAACTCTCATAGATTGGAGTATAGAGGCCCCGCAGACACCTCACATCTGATATCAGAGCACTTCCTGTGCCTAGGCACTCCTGATATCAGAGCACTTCCTGTGCCTAGGCACTCCTGATATCAGTGCACTTCCTGTGCCTAGGCACTCCTGATATCAGTACACTTCCTGTGCCTAGGCACTGCTGATATCAGTGCACTTCCTGTGCCTAGGCACTCCTGATATCAGTGCACTTCCTGTGCCTAGGCACTCCTCCTGATATCAGGACACTTCCTGTGCCTAGGCACTGCTGATATCAGTGCACTTCCTCTTCCTCAGAGATCCTTATTCTTCATTCTCAGAGATCCTTCTTCCTCGTCCTCGGAGATCCTTCTTCCTCGGAGATCCTTCTTCTTCGTCCTCGGAGATCCTTCTTCCTCGGAGATCCTTCTTCTTCGTCCTCGGGGATCCTTCTTCCTCAGAGATCCTTATTCTTCGTCCTCAGAGATCCTTCTTCCTCGTCCTCGGAGATCCTTCTTCCTCGGAGATCCTTCTTCTTCGTCCTCGGAGATCCTTCTTCCTCGGAGATCCTTCTTCTTCGTCCTAGGGGATCCTTCTTCGTCCTCGGAGATCCTTCTTCTTCGTCCTAGGGGATCCTTCTTCTTCGTCCTCGGAGATCCTTTTTCCTCGTCCTCGGAGATCCTTTTTCCTCGTCCTCGGAGATCCTTCATCCTCGTCCTCTGAATCTTTTCTTGTGCAGAGACAGTTAAAGGGGGACACAGGAAGTCACAGAGGGTGTGAGCGGGCGCTGTGATTGGGGGTGGGGAGACGCGGCGGGTACATGTATATATATGTATACTGTATGTTCATCGGTGTCCATGTACATAGAATACAAACAGTGATAGCCGCTCAGTCTGGGGAGGAACTACAAATCCCAGCAGTCAGCCAGTAGGGGGGAGGGGTTCCTTGTAATAAAATCAGAGGTCTGTGTTACATACAATGTCTGATATATACAGAGGGTGTGGCCCCCACTGTGATCTGTAGAAGGGCCCGACTGGCATGACTCAGCATTCAGATAACATCAGCTGGTCACACCTTCATTCTGGTATGGAGGAGCTCCGAGTCTCAATGATCGCAGACCCGGAACTCTCATAGATTGGAGTATAGAGGCCCCGCAGACACCTCACATCTGATATCAGAGCACTTCCTGTGCCTAGGCACTCCTGATATCAGAGCACTTCCTGTGCCTAGGCACTCCTGATATCAGTGCACTTCCTGTGCCTAGGCACTCCTGATATCAGTACACTTCCTGTGCCTAGGCACTGCTGATATCAGTGCACTTCCTGTGCCTAGGCACTCCTGATATCAGTGCACTTCCTGTGCCTAGGCACTCCTCCTGATATCAGGACACTTCCTGTGCCTAGGCACTGCTGATATCAGTGCACTTCCTGTGCCTAGGCACTCCTGATATCAGTGCACTTCCTGTGCCTTGGCACTTCCAGTCATCAGACCACCATCATCACATCAGGGGGGCAGCTCGGACAGGAAAAAGTAAAGCCCCGCCTCAGCCAAGATGGCCGCCTCCACATAGGGACGCAGGACAGAACAAGACACGGTGATTCAGTGATGGGGTCCATACTGGTGACCCGTCCTCGGCTTTTCCAGGACCCCAGGAGGTTAATGGGGGGGTCACAGCGATATTGTCCGGAGGTCCTGCGAGCGGACGAGTTGTCAGGACGCTGATCGCTCTCCTCCATAGAACACACAGAACGACCATTCATCATAATATCCTCCCGCCATTTATAGACCTCCATGGAAGTCATGCGCAGCGGACTCGCCGGTCATTGTGTCTCAGGAGTGACTGCAGCGTTCCTGATGCCGGTGTTCTGTCCAGAATGCCGACCCAGTCGAATTTGCCGACCTGGCCATCTGCGCGCACACACACACCGGGGCGAAGGAGAAAACGGCCATTTGTTTATAAAGTATTTATTTCTAATTGTTAATTGTGACCGGTCATATGTACATGACGGATGGCGTATCATGAACGGTCACAATATGCTCAGGTCGGCAAATTCTACAGAACCGCACCGGTACATAGTGTTCCCGGGTGCGATGGATCCCTACAATGTAACAATATCATCTGATACAATGTATCCGCCTTCAGGTGACAGGATGAGTACAGAGAAGTTTATTTTTTCTGCTTCAGTCCCTCCCTCTCCCCAGTCCCGCCCACACCGTATATAAACCTCTCTCCGTAAAGTTCGCCGCTCATTCTGTTATAGCTCCCGCCTGCTCGGTGTATTTAGGCTCCTCCCCCTTTCTTTTGGTGACACGTGGATTTGCGAACGTCACGCCATGAAGGAGTGTAACGGATCCGGTGAGCCCCCGGTACCCCCCGGGGTGGTCCGGCCC